AAAAAAATTGAAAAAAAAATAATAATGTAAAAAAAAAAAAAAAAAAAAAAAAAAAAAAAAAAAAAAAATTGATTTGAAATATGTTTAAAGTAATTGAGTTCGATCATATATAGACTTATATATCTATGTTACATTCGCTTTAATATCTTTCAGTTCGTATAAAAACGCAATGCACAAGGAACATAGTCCTCGCTCCTATATTTGCAAAAATAAATATATTTAGCTTCGATTTATGATTATATTTACTTTTCAATTACTGAACTTAGCTTGATTATCAATTAAATTGTGAGCTTAGAAAATATATTCCTGTATGAATTGAATTTGTTCACATTTTACAACGGCTTCAATTCGTATGATCAAAATGCAATAAAAAAAAAAAAAAAACAAAGTTCGCGCTAGGCCCAGCCACGTGCAGCCTGCCAGTCAGACTGACTGCGGTCAGGTGACTGCTCACCTGTCCGGGCAGTTAATTTGTGTGTGAGCCACATGAACAAGGCTGCCGCACAGCGGCTGGGCAACCGCAGCAGCACGGCGCAGCACCCGGCAGCAGCTGTCACTGGCTGCCAAATTGACGTAGCCGGAACTCATAATGTGCCATTGATTCTCTGCAGGGCGACCGCCGCCGAAGGTCACCTGGTGGCGCGATGGCAACGAGCTGATCGGCACCAGCCACACGTCCGTGGAGGAGGGCGCCACGGTTATGGTCAACCAGCTGCTGATTGGCACCACGACGCGGGACTATTATGGGGCGCGCATTGAGTGCCGAGCGCAGGGCACACGCCTCCTGCAGCCCGTCACCAAGGATGTCACCGTCCAGGTGCACCGTAAGTGGAACTTCCTTGTGCTCAAATCAACTGCCTCACCCCAATTGTATTCACAGTGAAGCCCATTCGCGTCAAGATCATAACGCCCAATGACCTGCTCACGGCGGGGCATCCGATTGCCATACGCTGCGAGTCCTGGGGCTCCTATCCGGCGGCCAAGATTGTCTGGCTGCTGGACGGCGAGCCCATACGCAATGCCGAGGTGACTCTCAACAACGACAAAGAGGTAAGTGCAGCTGGCTCTGAGTTGGTTCAACGAAATAAAACAAAAACAGGTATTTGCGGAACTTTTACGATTTTTGTTGTTGTTGCTGTTCATGTTTGACATTTGATAGCAACAGTAACACACACCCACACGCCCAGACGCCCACACGCCTAACTTTGAGCAACTGTGCGGCGCTTAATAACCCCCGAAGTGCAGCAGCAACTGCCAGGACTGCAGCTCCTTCTCCTGCTCCTGCTCCTGCTGCTGCTCCTGCCGACCACTGGGTGACCCTAAAAGGCGACGTGAGCCAGGCAAAGTTTTGCAGCTGCAGACAAGTTGACTTCAAGTGGCCCGTCCGCCTGGCTGGCTATCCCTTGGCCCGGCCCCCGCCCGGACTCTGCTGCAGCTCTTTGATTAAGTGCACTGCCAAAAACTTTCAAGCGAGCTATACAAATTTGCACTCGACAAGCCGGACGAACAGACGGACGGAGGCTGGGCCGACTAATGTGCGAATTTTTATTTGAATTTATGTAGATGGGTGCCGGCCATTTGTTAAGGGCCCATCGCAATTTTTATGCATCCTGCTGAAATTTATCAGCAGCAGTTCGCATGCAGCACGACTTCATTTGCCTGCGGCGCCCAGACCCACAGAGCCACAGTGCCGGACTGTAACCACCACAGCCAGCAGCCGGACAGCAGTTTGTAAGACATGCGAGCGGCCTGTGCAAAGACAGCTCGGCTTTCGGCATCCATTAGTTATCCATGTGGCACACTCTGCCCGCCACAGGGTATTCGAGTTATCGGTCAGCCTCTATGCCATGCAGTTATGATATAGGATCATAATTGAGACTCTTTTCGGGCAGAGTTTAGGTTCATTTTGTGTGGTTTCTCTCTATGCGAACTTCTCTTATTTTATGTGAAAGTGAATTTATCAGATTTTGCTAGAGTATTTACTCTTCGTTATGCTTGCTTTCTTTTGCTGGCTTGGGCGCTGCCGATGCCTTTTCCGCTTTCTAATTATGCCCATGCTAATGGATAGAGACAGCAGCCGGAGCAGGAGTCTGTGTCAGGGCGGGTTGGGGCCAGTTGAAAGACAAACGTCGCCTGACATTAGGCAACTCGTGCATAACCAATTCGTTCGATAACTGAGCACAATATGTGCTCATGTGGGTGGGCGGTGCGGTGGGCGGGGCTGCATGGCAGTGGCAGTGTCAGGCGGCTGCCATTATCCTGCTGTGCCTTTGAGGTAACCCTACACGCAGCTCGGCACGAGCTGCTAAAAATGCGCCTCATTATTTGCCAAGCCTGTGCTGAAATGCAACTCGAGCTTCAGGCTTTCGGCCAACAAATTTGGTTGCCTGGCCAACTGAATTCAACACTGAATAAAAAAGAGATGAAAAAATTTAATAAAACCCATAGTCAAGCAATACTCGTTTAATTATTTCGCAGGATGCCAACATAACAACGAGCATTCTGACACTGAAGGTAACAGCGGAGAACGACAATGCGGAGCTGACGTGCCGTGCATCGAATCCCTGGTTCTCCGGCGGCGCCATCGAGGACAAGCGCATCATACGGGTGGCATGTGAGTATACAGATTACGGACAGATTGCTTGGAATTCCCTGCCGTCTCCCTTGACCATTGACCCCTTCGCATGAATTTCGAGCTTTCCCACATAAAATCGTTTCCTATTCGAGACATGTATCTATTCTTTCGCTTGCCAGTGTGCGTGTGTGTGTGTGTTTGGGTGCCTGGCCTAAAGCACTTTCCGTCGCGGCAAGTCCAATTAGAAGCGTATTAGGGCCAGAGCAACGTAACTTGGTTAGAGCTCCAGAGTTCGCATCTCTGCAGACGCATCGAGCTGCTGCAGCTCCTTTGCAAACTAAGCCCAAGGCTGGCGGCATTCACCTGTTGTGCCTGCTGCACGTTAAGCTGCTTATGGAGTGCAGTCAACGATGGCCCTAACGTCATTATGCCTGATCATCATCATCGTCATCATCATCATCAGCATCAGCATCAAGGCTGTCGTTGCCATTGGCGCTGTTCCTCCTCTCCTAGTTGCTGTTGCTGTTGGCCTTTGCACAGCCTTCGACTTGGCTTGATTAAATTTTCACTGTTATGTTTCCGGTGCTCATTTTTCGCCTAGCCATCATAATATTTGCAACATCCGCTTCCGGCTTCCGCTTTAGATTACTCCTGCGCGGGTACAGCAAGCAGCAAGCAGCAAACAGCAACAAAAGCAAATTAAATTACCTGCACTCAATGTGGCCTCGACAACCTCTCGGTGCGACATCAGACTTCATTTCGATTTAATTTCGTGCCGCATTTTTAATAATTCACCATAAATGCCAGCAATTTTCGCCGTCTTGCGCTCAGAGGCCATAGTTCGCTCCATCCTCTCCGCTGGCCAGGCCAGGCAAGGCGCTCGCCCTGGCGCCAGTCTCGGTCGCGTATTAGATTTTTACAACCGTAACTAATAGTCCCATTTGGCTTATGGCCAGGCGGCCGTGCACCACAATGGACTGGCTGAAGAGGCTCGCCATTGGGCCATAGGCCCCGCTCGCTGCTCGGACAGCAGCTGACCATGCGGAGGAGCAGCAGGAGCTGATGCTGCTTGCCGCGTCAGCTTGGGCTAACTACATTACGCAATGCTGGTTACGCCCGGCCGGGTGGCTCACCTTATGAGCCATTTGCGTTTATTATTTGGACTTTTATCCGGCCATTTGCAGCGCTCATTCGATTTGACGCCCGCACTTACTTATCTGCCCTCTATTGCTTTGTTTCAGACCCGCCCACCGTCTCGGTGCACTTGGCCAACGAGGACCCCAGCCGCATGGTTACCCGAGCCGAGGGCCAGAACGTCACATTCAAATGTCGAGCAGATGCCAGGCCACCTGTCACCAGCTACTCCTGGTTCAAGAACGTAAGTACGCCACAGACTCATCAATTGCTTCAACTCCCACGCTCCCATACTCCCACACTCCCACTCCAACTGGGCAGGACTCCGCCTGACCACTGACGCCTATTAGGCAGCAAACACTTTGGCAATTTTTATTATCAATTGCTGCTCCACTAGGCTCCTTCTTCCTTCCACTTGCGGCCTGTCGAAATTCCTGCGGCAACTTAAGCAGACACTTTGCGGTTTCATTTAATTTACCGAAATTGTTTCGAGAGCTGCGGGCTCCCATTCGCAAGATGCCAGGCGCCAAATATGTGGCCTATTCGCTTACCAAGTGGCCAACATCCGAGGCCTTAAACTGTATTCAAGCTGTGCGTTCTTCTGTTAGATTTCCTCAAGTCTCCCTCTTTCTCTCTCTCTCTCTGTGTGTGTGTGTGTGTAAATAATTACTAATGATGGATTTTGATTGAAGTTGGCTTGAATTGAAAATTATTTAAGCATTAATCATGCGACAAATAAGCCCAAGATTGGCCACACGAAGATCCCCATCTTCGAGCTCTCTCAGCTCAGCTGGCATTCGTATATATTTATGCTATGTAGCCATAAAAGCCACAAAGATTGACCGGCATTGTTTGGCCATTCGGCTGTTCGGCCCGTTCAGTATTGTGTTGTTGTTATTACTAAATGGGCAAGGTTTTGACAACCTTTGACAGTTTTGTTCACATGGCACATCATCATTTTTCATGGCTCACACACACCGACACACACAATAGCATTAAATTATGTTTTCTTTTTCACTCACATTATTATACAATACAATATTTTGTTTGGCTCCGTCGAGTGAGTGTTTCGGCTTGGCGTTTAACAAATTATGTGGCCGAGCCCATTGTGGGGAAAAAAAGAAACTTTTTAATATTTAAGGCATTTTGTCTTTCGTCCTTCGGGCCTGCCTTTTTCCACTGCCATTTGCCGTAAACAAAAAGCCAAAATCGACAAAAATTATGAAAAACGATGCGCCCAATGTGAACAGAGAAAAACTTCCAAGTAGCAGCAAAAAGCAAGCAAACTTTGTCACTTCTTCGCCTGTCAGTCCTTAGTCCCTTGTCCGCAGTCCTCTCTAGATTTACTTTGTCAGCAGTTTACTTTTCTGCTACCCGTCCAGAGGACCCGCAGCCTGAACGCCAGGTTAACTTTAAGATTTCGTCAGCCATTTTCTTATTGAAGTTGCGCTGTCAGGGCTTGTTGCACTTGGCCTTAATCTCATTGCAAATACATTGCAAAGTCCAATTCGGATTAGCATCAGCTCATCAGCTGAAAGTTAGCTTGACTACTAGAAATTGGCAGAAGTATTCAAATATGGTGGTAGTTTGCATTAATTGGGAATAAATGCTAATTTAATCTAAAATGTTATTTATATATTTAATTTTGTTGTTTTAAATAATTTATAAT